TATATATATATATATATATATATATATATATATATATATTCCAGAAACTAAATTTTGTTTTTCACTTCTCCCATGCCATTCAAACTTTCTGTCCATTCGATTAGATTTTTTACGAGAACGATGAATGGATGACCGGGACGAGCTTTCAGGACCAATGGATGATCGGTCATCCGGGAATGGGTGGGCAAAATGTGAAGATGGATCCAACGAATAAAGTCGCATTTGCGTATATTTCCAACAGTGTCAAATGGGGTATTTCTGACTATGTGGTCACATTTATGCGATTGCAAAACGCATTGTATCAATGCTTGAATGAGCAAAATCTGCTTGGTGATGACAGCAACGATGTGACACTAGTAACTGATGTGCAATCAGCGATTGATGCCACAGAGACAATCGTGGAAACAGATAAATTGTTAGCAGATCAACGAAATGCAACAAAAACACCGTCCACGCCTGTCAGCAACGCGGACAATTCGGCAGCCCAAAAGCCTACTGATCAACCACTTCAGAAGCCAAAAACTGAACGAACTGCAACTCCTTCACCTATCCAGCAAGCCAAAAGTACGTGGTTCGGAGATGATTCCCTTCTTGTTACTAATAAAACTTAACAGTTACTTGAGTTGCTCTATAAGCAATCAATAAACATACCAACCGAAACGAATTAGTCACCTTTATCAAAAAATCAAAATAAATGGATAGAAATTCTTCGATTAGGTAACATTTTGCGATTTCTGAATCAAAGACTGCCTCAGTAAACTGGGAGAACTTAATTTGAGAAATGGTGAAGTGAACGAGAAATTTTATCGGTATATCTGCAGAAAATAACCGAAATCTTTACCAACGGCCAAATTCGCAATCGAAAAACAGTGGACTATTTGTTCAATATCCTATAAGAATTGCAGAATTGCTTTTGAATTTATAATCACCAACTTGAGTGTTTCAATTTGAATTTTGTTTCAGCGCCCGTTACTGCCAAAAGTGTAGCACCTTCCAGTGATACGTCGTTGCAAACTAGTGACAACGGAGTGAAGACATAATTTAGACTGTAAATTTCCTCTCTGTGATACTCAACTACTTAAACGAAATATTGTATTAATCATATCATTAATATTCACAGTTTATTGTCATTTTCATTCATATCAATGGAAATAAATTTGTCACTTTTTGCGAAGCACTTCATATCATTCCCACTTTTGGTTGGCTCATCTACAAATAAAGTCCAATCAATGATCTGCTGGATCTCAAGCATGAGAGATGATTTGACTGACACCTCCCGTGGATTGCAAAGAGATTCTTCTATCGGGGAACATTTAGTGATTTGTAAGACGAGGATTATCTCAGTAAACTGCAGAAACTTAATTTTATAAATTTATATTAACACTCCTGAAAAAATTTTGCACTGTTGACCATTCGTAGCATCACGTCGATTTTCAGTTAATCTGACATTTTTAATCGGAATTCAGGAAGTAAATGAGACACGAAAGTATTGAATTACAGGACGAATATGAACAAACAAACTGAATTAAATATGAAAAATCAACGAAAATGCATGCATACTAGCAATTCCTACTCGCAATTATGAAAATCATACTGACAAATTGGCATCTGCACTGAAAGAGAATTATATGCACCCGTTTTCGAGCAAGGTTTCTTGGCCAAATGGCTTCATTAGATCAAATCAAATCATTTAGCGATGGTACACGACAAACTTTGATATAATATGATATAGTATGCGAACCATTTGGGCGTTAGTATAATGAGGATCTATTGCAACAATATTTTAATATTGCATGAGTGATTCCATTGTTATTTGTTATGATTCTATTGTTATTTGCTATTCAATATTATTCTGTTAACATGACTGACAATACATACATTCTGTTACCAACGATAATCTGAATACCTAAAAGAACGCATTATATTTGCGATCAGTTGCAGATGAGTATTCAAAATTATTTGCAGTTTATTTGACGAAAACGAAAATCAAGCATACGGAAATTTTGAATTGTGTGAATGTAGAATATTTGACATTCATGAAATTATTTCTCACTTGAACATTTTTACCGCTTAACAATGGGTTGTGTTGTTGTTGATACGTTGTTTGCGTTAATATCGTCGCTATTCGCTTCATTTTCATTAGTCCTCTTATTTGTGAACTGTGCAACTGGTGAGTTTTGCTATTATAAATGCTCGGTGATGAGATTCAGGCAAACGAGATTGAGTGGAAGAATCA